AAAAAACTTTCTCAAATTGAAAAACTAGACTACCTAATGTGCATGCACACATAGGATAACATTAGTTGCTTCTATTGGCAAAACACTAAACTCCTCTAGGAGCAGAGTTTTTTTTAAGCTGGTATGCATGGAGATGAAAGATGCATTTTATAATAAAGCAAAAAAAAAATAATTCACCTGTACAAATATTTAATTAATGCCCAAACTGTCTATAATGCAGTCTGAATCTGATTGCTATTCACCATTTTGTATCTGTGTTATGTTTTTACTATTGCAGAAAAAAGAAAGCCAACATGATGGACATATTTATTTATGTATAAACATTTCAGTTATTTAATATGTATTATGCAGGTCAGCAATACATGCTTTTTTGATATATGTTACTGTCAGATGTTGCCCCTATTTGCTTTGTAATGCTGTGCATGTTTGTCTTATCAGCTCTCTTGTGTACTATAATACTATAAATCTACTCCCCCCCCCCCCTACATTAGTATGTACGGTTATATAATTTGTAAAGAGCGTAGGTATTTTTTCCCTCTGCTGCATAAATATTAATATATTTGCATGGTCTGATTTTAAGGAATTTATTTTACCTAATGACTGTAAATGGGATGAAAATGCAAATGCTCTTTGTTATTCCATTTGCGCAGCTCTTGCATGCCGCCTCCGTAAAGCACAAGAGCAAACCTCAGGGGTTTCTTCTAAATTGGAACTCTGGGTAGGCACTTGTCACTATGACTTACAGTAGCTGCTAAAAGTTACCTGGAGCTAATGCTTTGAGAGCACTAAGTCAAACGTAATATAGAAGGAAAATATTTCTGGAGAACACTTCCCAGTAGTGGGAAGATACTTCTTGTCAGCTCATACTGTGCAAGGAGAGGAAAGATTGAGCAAATGCTGGTAAATTTAGCTTCAGAGAACGGAAGCAAGTTCACCGTGGGCTTTGGTCTATGGATGCCTCCCTAAAGGAATCATTGGTTTTTGTAAACAATTTGTCAGAATGGAGTGAAGAGGTTTCTCATGAAGTCTCCTGAGGCTGCTTAATGTCACCATGCCTGACCCTAAATCTCTTTCTCTAGCACATTCGCCAATGTAAGCTAGAGATGCAAAATGAGCACAAGTAGGATATTCCAGTAAATTATGTACATTTCTTGGGAACACATCAGCACCGCTCTAAATATGATGTGTTAGGCTATCATGCCATGATTATGTATGACACTATGTGCCAGTGATTCTCAGCTTGGAGTGGGTTTAAAATATCCAGCAAAACACTATATATTGTAAAGAATAAACAATGAAATGCTAATACACTTCTGGAATTGAGGTTATTGTTTTCCAAATGGTCACGTTTAGAAAAGACCAGCTATTTTTAAGGGGGACACCATCATTCGTTTATTTTTTTTTTTTTTAACCTTCAACACTAAAGGGAATCTCATATTTATTTGGTTGTGTTCAAGACTAAAATAATAATAATAATATATAGTATAATATTTTTACTAAGGAAATATGAAAGGTTGCATATGCATAGTGATATGAGTAGTGACTGTCATGTACATCAGTGACATGTGGCAAATAATGATGTGGTAGAAAACCTGGAGTTGCTATTCGATCATTCACATCTGCAGCCATTAAAGTGGTTTTAAATCTCGGATGTGAAATATGAAGAAAGCATATCCTTCTATAGTATGTGCTTTAAGAGCACCAAGTGTCATTTCTGTCTGCTGCTTTGTTCCTCTGCTATCAGCATTAAACACTTCTGACAAGTTTTCCTGACACTAAGGCTCCATGTACACTGCAGCTGATAAACTCACGTTTAGGAGCTTTTCTGCGTTTTTTTTTTCAGCAGCCCCTGAACTCTCCATAATGTTTTCCTATGTGTCCATGTACACATAGTCGTTTACAGGCAGTTGAGTTTACAATCCTTTTTTTGAATGCACCAAACTTGCGTTCTGGAGTAGATTTTATCAGCATTGCAAACACCAAATGCTTGTAAACGCGGCTAACCTCGTTCATAAGTGTTTGCATTTGGAAATTTTTTTTAACTCTTCCATTTCCAGATGCTGTCCAGAGCCTTTTTTCATCATGAAAAATGCATGTAAAGTGTTTTCTCAGTACTCAAATGGACCTGGTACACGATACTTTGAAAGAAAAATGTTAGACACTGCTGCAATAATTTCTGCACAGAAATGAGCTGGAACACATCCAAACACCACAAAAAAAAAAAAGACAGCTAATCTCAACAAATACTGCTCTCTCTGCTTCTGCTCTCTCTATTTCTCTCAAAATGTCTGAAATAGTACATTTTTTACCATTTTTCAGTGCATTCTGGGCATTTTGGAAGGTCTCCTGAGGGTATCTTTAAAAAACACTTCTAAACGCAAACGCGCATAAACGCAGTATGCAAACGTGGCTAAACAGATGTTTTTTAACCTACATTTTCCAGCAGTCAGTTTCCATCGTTCAGAAGTGTCCTGTGTACATGGAGCCTTAGAGAAAAATGGTGACAGGGGAGGGAGCTACAGCAGATTGACAGCCTCAGCTCTGTTCCTGTGAGCTGTGTGGAGGGGGGGTGTCTCTTCCCTCCAATCAGCTCTCAGAGCTCTCCTCACTGAGCTCTACAGAGTATTATTATTATTATACAGTATTTATAAAGCGCCAATAGTTAGCTCAGCGCTGTACATTACAATATGATTTCAGCTCTCCACCCCCTTTTTTGTGAACTCTCAGACAAGCTTTATAAATTCATAACTTTAAATGACTGTAGAGAAGGGAAGACTGTAGCTAGACAGGTGAAACTTATGTAGGAGGGTTTGTTTAATCTCTGTGTATCACCTGAGGCCAGTCACTTCACTGGGTATTTGTAAGGGTTTACAACCACTTTAAAGTATAAGTTCACATTTACAAAAAAAAATGAAATGCACATTTTTTTTTGCAGGTAAAAAAATATGCATTTATGATTTTGTCTTGTTAGGAGACTGTAAAGCATTGTACCCACAAGCAGCAAGTTGTGGGTGTAATGACATGGTACTGCCATCTTGTCTGTGTAGCTGTCTGTCCATGCAAACTATCCAGAGTGCTCACTAGCTCCCTGGTAGTTTTCACAATCACAGACAACTGTGCTTGATTTACTGAAATTTTCTAAATCAGTTTGTTCAATTAAGCTTTGATATTAAAACCTGGAAGCTGATCAGTTACTATGCAGAGCTGCACCAGAGTTTGCACCCTCCAGTTTTAGTAAATGAACCCCACTGTGAATGAATGATGAAGCCAGGTGGGGGAAATGAGTGTAACATGTATGTTACAAAATGTGAACTTATCCTTTAAGCCCACAAGGTAGGATTCAACATAATGAGTGAACTAATAATAAACCATTTACAGATAAAACTTTACAGTGAATATTTTCATTTTTATTTCCTTTAAGGGATTAATGCATTCGAGTGGTCCAGTGGGCAGACATCGCCAACTAGTGCTGGTCTTGGAAGGAGAACTTTACCTCATCCCATTTGCTCTGCTAAAGGGTAGCTCATCCAACGAGTATCTTTATGAACGCTTCAGTCTGATTGCTGTTCCCTCCATCCGATCTCTGAACATAAATTCGAAGGTAAGAACCAAGTATATTTGATTTAGTTCTGTCTGCAAATTTATGATTCATACAGATGAATAGCTCCAGGTTGATTTCATTTTCTGACAGTGCTAAAAGCAGAAGTGAAGTTCTAACTGTTTAAAGTAGAATTGTAGGCAAACGGCTCAATCTCTGCCACCTTTGTGCTTTCACCCTTTGTCAGCAAGCTGATTGTGCTGCATGCAGTTCTTTAATGTAAATACATTAGAGACCTACAGTGTGGAAAGCCCATATTATTTTATTTGTAGACAAATTATTAAAGAGGTTCTAAATCTGTAAGGTTTTTTTACTTTAATGCATTCTATGCATTAAGGTAAAAACACTTCTGTACTGCAGGATCCCTCTCAGCCCCCTTAAACTTACCTGAGCCTGATCTCGATCCAGTGCTGTGCACGAGAGCAGCAGCTCTCTGCACTCTCTACCTCCCCACAGGGCAGATTGATAGCAGCGGTAGCCAATTTCTGTGACAAGTGAGCAAGGGGCGGGGCAGAGCCACACTGGCTGTGTCTATAGATGCTTTCTATGGGGGCACTCGCTGAAGAGGAGGTGCCAGGAAAATGGTGGGGGACCCCAGAAGAAGTGGATCGGGGCTGCTCTTTGCAATACCATTGTGCAAAGCAGGTAGGTATAACATGTTTATTATTTCAATTAAAAAAAATGAAGCTTTAATGTCACTTGCTGCAACCTTTTGCCAACTTATGCCATTGTCCCACCAATGTCCTTTGCCACAGATATTTTTGAATGTGCAGCTATAATGATCTCTATACATAGAGATATACATAGTAGTATTAGAGATATCCTAGCTTATACTCCGTTACAGCTGTAGGGAAGAGGAATAGTGAAATTTCATCTGGTGGGTACAATGTGATTATGTGACCTGAAGATAAGAGATTGTGTGGGAGGACTGATAGCAAAGAATCCCAGATCAAGGTGAATATGTCAAGTAAGCTGGCCATATATGAAGCACATTTGGAGCTGTGGGTGACCCTATTGGCATTCTCCCACCCAACATCCTTCAATCTGAATTTCGAAGGAGACAAGTACAAAATTGTCCTATTAAATGCAGCCACTGTTTGAGTATTCTGACAGCCGGGAGTTCTGGCTATAAGAATACATAGCCAGCTAGAGAGATTCCTTCATCCACACTGTTTAACTTGGATGGGAGAATCAATGCAAAGCTGAACGAGAGAAATCTTACAGTACATAGCTCGCTTGTCATGTTACAGAGAAGAAAATTGTAATGTGACTCAAGAATAAGCATTGATGGTTGGTACAGATCTATTTTTATGTACATTAATAATTCAGAGTTCTTCTTGGCATGTCTATTTTACAGTCTCATTTACGGAAGAATGTTCCCTTATATTCAAGTTCTACCTCCATGGCTGCTGTTATTGGAAATCCTAAACTTCCTCCATCGGTGATGGATAGATGGCTGTGGGGACCAATGCCCTCAGCAGAAGAAGAAGCCTACATGGTATCTGAATTGTTGGGTTGTCAGCCTCTTGTTGGCTCTTCAGCCACAAAGACAAAGTGATGAGCGCACTCACACAAGCTGAATGTGTCCACTTTGCCACCCACATCTCATGGAAACTTGCAGCTTTAATACTAACTCCAAACAGCGAGAACAACTCTGGAACAAATAAAAGCACCTTTGGAAATACCTACACCATTCCTGAGTCTTTACAGATGCAGGATGATGCCAGTGATGTTGAAAGCATATCAGACTGTCCACCCCTTCAGGAATTCCTCCTGACAGCGGCAGATGTCCTGGATCTCAGGCTTCCTGTAAAACTAGTGGTTCTTGGATCTTATCAGGAATCCAGCAACAAAGTTACAGCAGATGGAGCTATTGGCTTGACGCGGGCCTTCTTGGCTGCCGGAGCTCAGTGTGTCCTTATATCTCTATGGCCTGTGCCTGTTGCTGCCTCAAAAATGTTTGTCCATGCCTTTTATTCGGCACTCCTGAATGGAATGAAAGCAAGTGCATCCCTGTCTGAGGCAATGAAAACAGTACAGAGCAGTAAGCAATACTCACATCCATCAAACTGGGCAGGTATGATAATTACTTTGTGTCTGTATTGTACATCATTTTTATTAGATACAGCTGTTATCCGTGTCATTTGTAACTGTGCCTCGCTACTTGACATTACATTTGCAGTATATCTTGAATTGTCATCACCTCTTCCAAGTGCTACAGTGAAAAACTTGGGAGCCTAATATCTCTGACAGAATCTGATTATCATCTGAGAATATGTATGTTCAGAGACAGTCCTTGAGTGATTTTCAAAAATACATAAGGGCTTTCCAGTTCCACACATAACACTGCTTTCATTTTTTAAAGTAGTCATTTAGTCATCAGCATTCATATCCCTCAGAGGATTTTTTTTTAATAAAAACAACTTTTCATGTAACATTAGTAAGTCATTGCCAATCAAGAAAGGCTCTTAAAGTATAACTAAAGGCAAAACTTTTTTTTAGTTTTGGATAGAGTGGAGATGGATTAGAATGCCTGTCAGTTTTTATTGCTGTGCCCCCGTTAGGGAGATTTATCCTCTTTATTTGTCCTGTTTATCATTGTCATTGAAAGTGAAAGTAAAAGAAAATTCCAAATTTGAGTTGTCCTCAGAAAAGTAATGGAAGGGAAATCTTCCAATGGGGCTCCCAATAATTTGCTGGGAATTCTGCTCACTTCCTGTTTCGCTATGGGGCAGGAAGTGAAGAGAAATATCCGTAATGGGACATAGATGGCAAAACAAATATGACAGGGGTTGTAGCCCTCCCTTTCTCTATCCAGAATGAAAAAAGATTTTCTTATAGTTCTACTGTAAACTAAACCTGAGGAATATACAGGCTACCATTTTTTTTCCTCCCTGGCCCTCGCTGTCATGTTGACCCAATGACTTCAGCCCTTCCGGAGTCACTGATCTCGAACAAGTGTGCAGCAAGTGAAGCTAGACCTCCAGATTTGTATACTAGTTATGGAGCCACTGTTCAGAATTACAGCCAGGGAACTAGCCTATTTTAATGGAGGTACGCAATAGCAGTCTGCATATTACTCCAGGCACAGGTTTTTTGGAACATGGCAAGGGCCCGTGGCAAACGCAACTTGTTACCTTAAGCTGAACTGTGTAAATATACTCAACTACAATGTCAGTGTTTTACACTTCCTCATGTAATTGCAGATTTATTTTAATCCTATATAAAGAGTCACTTGAAAAAGATTTGCATTTTCCTTTGGAAAATTTTTACGGTGATCATAGCTGCTTGGTTTATTACTGAGTACAATGGATGGTGAAACATCTGCCCATCCTTGAGTGAGCTGTGCCCACCAGGACTTGACAGGATCCACTTCTAAATGTATCCATCATGTGTTAGAGAGGCTCACACAGTAATAGAAAATGTATATTATATAGGGCACGCTTGTTAGAGCCCAACCTCTGTAGCTGTAGGATAAAGGTGCCAGACGGATATCAGGGATGGATGGGAGCAATAACACTGAGGCAGCTCTTCTTAGAGTGGAAGAAAGGTTCTAATGCAGTAACATGAAAAAGAGAGGAAGGCGCCTCTATGTGCAGTATAGACAATTTATTAGTGAACAATAGATGAAATGCACTTACAAGATAAATAGTTAAAAAGATTCATTGTGTGGTGTGTTAAGATCCAGGTGAGACATCCAGTTGTCCAACAGCATGCTCAGTCTATAGGATCAGGAAGTATGAACTAGGATGTGTCTGTGTATCAAGATGAGGCTTGGAGAGCAGCATCAGATGTAGGAGGTGAAGGGGGGAGCTAACGCGTTTCTGAGCATGCTCAGCAGGCTCCTTCTTCAGACCACGAGACCGCAAGGTCTGAAGAAGGAGCCTACTGAGCATGCTCCAAAGCGCGTTACCACCTCCTTCACCTCCTACATCCGACGCTGCTCTCCAAGCCTCATCTTGATACACAGACACATCCTAGTTCATACTTCCTGATCCGACGGACTGAGCTGCTGCTGGACGTCTGGATGTCTCACTTGGATCTTAACACCACATGATGAGTCTTTTTAACTATTTATCTTGTAAGTGCAATTCATCTATTGTTCACAAATACATTGTCTATACTGCACTTAGAGGCGCCTTCCTCTCTTTTTCATGCTCACATAGTAATAGCTCTGTTCCTTTTGATCCACAAAAGAAGTACAGTACAATTACAAAGGCATTTTCCAACATTTTAGAAGATATCTTGAGTGATAACTATGACTTCTTCATGTAAGCATTAAATAAGCATGCCCTTACACTACTCGATTGTTGCAATCTTCAGTGGAGTCATCTTTGTCAAAAGATGCATTCGCTTGTTTCAAAAGACTTTCAGCTGATAGGAAGAGGAAACTGCTGCTTACTGAAGCAATACTTTGGACCATGTTTATATTTTTTTAACCCCTTTACACCAGTGAGAGCCAGGGCTTTAAATGGTCTGTGACATCCAAGACTGGTAGGCAGGGCTCCCAATCATGAGGCACTGTGATAGGCTGCATAGTGCTGATGTCATCAGGAGTCCATCCTACCACTTTTTCGATTTTTGATGACAGATCAGTCACAGTTCTATGGGCACTGATGGAGCACACCCCAGAACAAGGCAGCGACACATACAATATATCCAGTCATTGGACATTAAAGCCCAATTTAAATTAATGGTTAAAAAGGACCTGTGCTGTGGAATCTTTGCAATCAGGTTGCAAAAGATGTTCACCAATATTGCCTGTAGACACCCTATAACTGGTCTTTTTTCCCCATTACTGACTTACCATGCCTAACTCCACAGTATGTCTTTCTGTGGCAATGGCATATTTAGTAGAGGAGCAGGGCTTTGCTTCCTTATGTCAGAGCTGCTCCTCTAATGATGGATAATCTCTGGTGACAAAATATTCAAGAAGGAAAAGTGGTGGAATCACAGATATTCAAAATAAATGAAGAAGAAACAGTAAGATCCTTGGCCAGCCCATCCCTAGGTACAATGTTCTCTCCATCAAGGAGAACAGTGAGCAGTACAATAGTGACATCACCAAATTTTAGGGAAGCAGTCATAGGCACAGTGCATGAAGTGATTTCACCCTGCAGATATACAGCTATAGGTCAACTGAACAGGAGTATCGAGGTACCATCATAGAAGTGCACTACTACTTTTCAAGAGTGGTTGAAGACAAGGGGCAAATCTTTCAGGGTGCTGCATGGCACAATTAATTTCTTCAGATTTTCCCTAAAAAATACGCAAACTCCACTTTTTGAGTTCACACCTGCTTTAAAGTGCCCATACACGACCTGAAGTCATTTTAGAACAAGGTCTAAATAGGCAATTCCAGACCAGTCTATCCATTTTGATCAGGCTATCCAGAAACATGACAGAATATAAGTAAGAAGATACTAAGTAGTATTTTTTATTGCTTTGACCATGTTATTTCCATAATGTTTACTGTGGCTGGTATGGATATTGAGGGAACACAAAGGTAACAATATTGAAGTTATAATTTTGTGGGAAGTAATGTCACTTTCAATGCACACATGGAGTTAAACATTGCAGGAGTCAGGAACGATAGCCATGGCTGTTCAAGTATTCAGCTATGATTACAGTGATGGGCCAATCTTTTGATTACTGTGGTGATTTGCTTATCTTGACCTATTGTTACTACATGTTAGCCCAGTCTAGAGGTGATATTTACAGGCATTCTAAGAAGCCGTATTCTTCCTTTTTTACTGTATATCATTAACGACACTCAAGGAAAATCCAGTTTCCCTGTCAGACAAGAGTCTTTCCATAGATTTCTGTAATGCAGACCTCTGCAGAGCTGACATCAGCCTAGGATGCAGATATTGCTCATCACTCATACTAGCCTCACAAAGAGGAGCTGCTGTGATTTACATGCAACCATTTACATCATCACTTCTACTGCAAATAGGCTAATAAATGCGAGAAAAGCTGTATAGATCTCTTATATTGGAGTAAATAATGAGCATGTATCCAAGTGCTAACGTGTTAGGTATGTTGATTCTGTTAGGTTCAACTCCAGGTTTTTTTGTTATTCTATATAGACTGGGAAAGGGTTAAAACCTTTGTCAGGTGTCTTTTCACTCACACCCAATGGCAGGGAAATCCCTCCACAGACAACAATACAAAACAGGGTGAAAATGCAATTTTGTGTCCTTGCTGTCAGAGTTTGTCTGTCTCAGAATCAACTGTGCCCCTCATTTCTTGTCCTAGTGTCACTGTAGGGCAGCCCATGCAGTCATTTTTTTTTTTTTGTATGCGAACAAAAAAAGAAGGCAACAGCGCTGGGTGGAGAGGCGAATGCTTATTACCCCTATGGATAAACAGTGCCACGTCCCTAATTCGGTTCACTAAAAAAAACAAAAAAACTGGCCATAGTCATGGACTTTATGGGCACCACACCAAAATTTCCTTAAGGCTTGGTTCACACCTATGCTTTTTGCTTTTGACCTGTTTTACAATGGTTTTACATAGTGCTGTGCTTTTTTTACATGCACGTTTTTAACCGCGTTTTGTTTTTTTTTTTCACTTCTTTTTGTTGAAGTGGACATTTTGTTGTTGCTGGGCAGAAATAAATTGCATTACACGTCAGAAAACATGGCAGAAACGCACTACATACATTTCAACAGCTTCTCCACTAAACTCTATTGTAGCAGAAATGCTGCTTTTTGCGTTTAAAAAAGACCCTGACCTTTTCCAAAAACTCAGCAGCTCAAAAAAGCAAAGATGTGAACATGTCCCGTAGGAAAACATGTTAAGTGGACTGTAATGTGTTTCTGCAAAAAACAGTAAAAAACGCATTGATGTGAACCAGGGGTAAAAGAGTACAATCTTTAATTCTGCACATTTAAAACAGCATTAAAAGTTAATTAAAATACAACTCAAAGTAGCATCTTGCACCCGTATGTTGGTGGCCCCACACTGTAAAGAAGAAAATTCGCAATACCCCAGTTGCAGGCATGTAATAATCATCATCTGGTTAACATACAGTTGCAAGAAAAAGTATGTGAATCCCTTGGGATTACGTGGAGT